ACAAGGGGTCTAGTGGGTGGGAGGCAGGAGTTGGGATTTTATTCTGCCCCTAATGTAAGGGGTTGTCGAGGCCTCATTCCCCAGGTCAGGTCAGTAAGCTCTCGGTGATCTGCTTGGTGGCAGCCTTGTTCTGGTCCTGGGGACCAGTTACTAATGGATCAGAGCTTTGCCTTTAGGAACAGCCAGGCTAGGGATAAGTACAACCATATAGACCAACAGTTTCCACTTGGTAGAATAGGAGGAGCATACAAAGAAGAGTAAAAGGAGGCCACTGAAGATGAGTGAGTGACTCTGTCCTGGAGCATCAGCAAAACTTTCCCTAAGGAGATGAAGCCTGGCAAGGTGGGAGGGGCAGGCAGTTCACGAGCAGGTGGGGAGGTGGGGGGCCCAGGTTGAGGAGCAGCTGTGTGAAAGGCCATGGCTTCATCCTCTTCATCCCAGTGCCCTGGGACGGCCTCATTGGGTTTACTCTTCTCTCTGGATGCTCAGGTACCCTGCTGACTGCACCCCAGCACACCGCGATCGGGGCACACCCTGTCTCCATGCCAACATACAGGGCCCAAGGGACCCCCGCGTACAGCTATGTCCCCCCGCACTGGTAAAGCCTGCAGCCCATCCAAGTGAGTGGGGCCCGGGCTGGGAGAGGTAGGACGCTGGCCAGATACCAGGACTGCCCCTAGCAAAGCCCCGGCCTGGTCTGCAGCGCAGGTATCTGCAGGGCCAGTGACCGTCACTAGCTGCTTTCCTGCTCCGAGTTCAGTGATAGCACTCTTAAGGACAGCTGTGACTTTACGTGTGTTATCTCATAATCCTTATTATGGTAGCTCTGTGAAATGAGGATTATTAGCTCTATTTTACAGAAAAATACAAAGTTCAACATCACTTAACCAGTAGGACTCCAGTCCTCTAGTACTGAATTCTGTGCTCTTCACCTCCAATTTTCAGCCTTTAACTCTGGGCCTCATTCTTCAAATGAAGTCTTACCTTAATCAGATGGAGACTTCGGGCCACTGCCTCCCCCACCCCCCGCAGCTCCCAAGGCAGAGCCAGTGAACCACAGGGCTCCAGGGATGTCACTGTTGAATTCTCTGCCTTCCCTTCTGATCTCCCCTGACCTCCACCTTCTCCAGGAGCTCTTGGCACTGGACGGGAGGCAGGCAGCTCCACCAGGAAGGCCCAGAGGGCTCCTTGTAGGGCTCGCACAGGGAGGGGAGGGGAGGGGATCTGGTGGCTTCCTGAAATGGCCTCAGGAATATCATTGTCACTAATGACTCTCCCCTTCCTTCCTCAGGTCTGGAGTCACACATTGTATGCAACTACTCAAGTCTTACACAGGTGCTGGAGCAGTCCCCTAGCAGCACCACCTCTGTTTGCAAGAAGAGACAACGGAAGTGCAAGGGTCACTTTATGCATCTTTAACGGTTTTGGTTTTTATTTTTGGTTTTTGTAAAAGCTGCTTTTTCTAATCTCCTGCCTCTCCCCACTGTCCCCTTCTTAGCCGCTACCCTTCCAGCTCTATCCCCTCCTTCTGACCAGGCACATCCTCTCTGCTCTTCGTCTCTCCTTCCCCAAGCATCTGGTCCCTGGGGACCCCAGTCTAGTGGCAGGCAGAGAGGGGGGTTTATTGCAATGGTTCAGCTGAAGATGTGATTTCCTTTGAAGAGCATAACACATGTGGCCCTCGGGTCCAGGGTAGAAACTCAGAGCTGTCGAGCAAGTTACATCTCTGGGGGATTGTTTCTTTATTTTTCCTAAGCAAGATTGGTTGGGGACATGACCATGTCCTGCCACAAAGGAAAGTCTTCTGAGAACCATCGCAACAGACCAAGAACAGAACCACCTGATTAGGTAGGAGTGTTCATAGCAGCTTAATACCCCGGGTGAGAACCTGCGAAAACCAGATTCTTTCCTTGGGAGAACTTGAGGGAGGGTGGGGAGGAGGGAGGGCACTGTGGGAAAGAAGAGGGGAGAGAGGTGCTTGCCTACTGGCTTTGGTTTGTAAGGTCTCTGGCCAAATTGTCTGGGCCTGGACCCTCTGATTTGCACAGTGTTGTTAACTGACCTGGCACTTCCTCAAAAGGTAATTTTGACCTCAGACCTGCCAAGCAGCTGCAGGGTGATGGTATCCCAGCCTCCCAAAGCCTTGGAAGGCCAGGTGCCCTATGTAATCCAGACCTTGGCCCCTGAGCCCAGTGGACCCACTCTCAAAAGATGCTTCCTCTTGATTAGAGTGGGAACCTATGGCATTTCTCTCCCTTCCCTCTGCCTTTCCCAGTGCCAGGGCTCACCAATCTGTCCATGGGGCTCTTGGTTACCTTGTGCCATTCACGGCCAAAGTGAAGGAACCACATTCCAGGTGGGTGCTGGCAGCTCTGAAGGTCAGGATAGTGAAGGAAAAGCAATAGCAATAAACATTTCATAGACTCATGGAACTGAAGGGACCTTAGCAATCATCTCATCCATTCCCCTGTTTGATTGATGAGGAAGCTGAGGCCCAGAGAAGACAAAAGGACTTCCCTAGATCTAGCAGTAAATTAGCATTAAATGCAGCCTTCCTACCTAAGGGCATGTTATCCACAAAAATTTACCTAGGGTTGGATTAGCTTGGTTTTGTAAAAATTAAGTCAGCAGCACCCACACCTGGTGAACTCTGGTACAGTCTCTGGGCTTTGGTTTCTGCTCTTTTCCTCCATGGATTCCAAAGGAGGGGTTTGAAGACTGGGCAGAGGTCACATGGGGGCAGATGGCAGGAACAGAAATTGCAAATGAGGAAATAGCATTTGGAAATTCTGTGAAGACATCTGGAACTTTCATTTTATACCGGACTCCAGCCCTAGAAGGAGCAAGTGGGCTGGCTGAAAAGGAGAATCTATGCTTTTAGGACAGTAGCCCCTCATCCTGAGAAGAGAGGAGGACAAGGATGAGGCCCAGGAGACAGGGGCTCTCATGGGAGAAGAGGAACCCCTGAGTCAGGAACCGTGGCTAGTCTCAGCCAGGAGCCCACTGTCCCAGCACTGTCCCCTGCACCCAGCTTCTGGCTGGGCCAGCAGCCCCTCTAGGGGTAAGGGGTGCAGGAACATTTTACTGTACAAAATGGGATCATCGATAACATTTGGGACTTTTAAATAACCCTTTTGATTTTAAATTCATGCATACTTGGATACACCCCTACCCTTACCTCCCATGTCTCCCTTAAAGGAGGAAAAAATCAGGAAACTTGAGCCAGAAGGACCTTAGAGGCTGTCTGGCCATTCCCAGGAGGGCAGAGCCCATCAGCGTCCAACTGAGAGCCAGGAGTTGGGGGACCCACCTTCTTGGCCTTCCGGGGAACTGCAGGACCATTAAGGAGAACCCTAACTATTCTAAATGGTCTGTTCTAGGGTGCTGATGGGGTTTCTTTTTAAAACAACAGTTTTCCAGTGTTAATCCATTTTTTGCAAATACCTCCTCCTACTCTCTGGTTTTGTAAGGGTGGGTGAAGGTTGTTCTAGATTATGTCATATGTGTTTGGAAAATGCCAAAATAATACTAATGATAATAGGAAGCCTTTGCATTTGTCAGGTGCTCCATAGATTCGAGCGCTTCCCAGCCTTTAATTTACTGGCCCTGAGAGAGAGGCAGGGTCAGAGTTCTTGCACCCATCGAACAAATGAGGAAACTGGTTCTAGAAGGAAAGGGAACTTGCCAATGTGAGCGGAATGCTAGTATCTTAATAGGCTTCTCTGAACCTTGCTGCCTCTAGGGGCTGGGTAGAACCACAGAGAGGAGGGGAAAAGGAGGAGACCTAGGAATGACCTTGTTACTTTTGTTCTTTCTATACCAGTAAGTAAAAACTAACATCTGGTACCTCACAGTTCACAAAGCAGTTTCACATCCATTCATCTGGCTTAACCCTGTGAAATAGAGTATTCCTCCCATTTGATCCATGGGGACACGGTGACTTGGGAAGGCAAAGGGACTTGCTCATCAGCGGCAAAGTCACCTGAATCCCAGTTTGTCCACTTTCCCTCCAGTCTGACTCCACACACAGGCTTGTGGACTGAAGCTTCTATGCTCTGCACCCCCTCTTTGCCCTAGTATGTAATTCCAGATCAAAGGCCCCAAGGCAAAAACAAGGTGCAGAAAGGTTATGGTCTGGAAGAGCCCAAGTCCAGCACCCCTTTTTCAGTATATGTGGTGGAGCCCCAGTTCTTCTGGCCTCCCCCTCTTGCTTTGACGGAGGTCCACAAGCCTAGCCAAGCTTGGGGAGTCATCGCAAAGGGAACAAGTCCAGGAGAGCAGGGGCAGTAGGGTGCCTTGGGCAGAAGGACCATTCCCAGTAGATCATAGGCGTCTCCTGGGCGGCATCCAAAGATACTGGATGGCCCAGTGGTAAAGCTGGACAGAAGGTCAGCTGGAAGGGCCCGGTCACTGTAGGAAGGCCAGCAAGCCAGAGGACGAGGGGTGTGCCCACAGGACATCGTCAGCCACAAAGCTGGCACCAGCGTGCAAACGCCTCTCCATTCCACTGCCTCCCCCCCGCCCCCACCCCAGTACCACAAGCTTGGTGGCCAGGGTTAGGGGCACAGGTGGTTCCAGACAATAGCCCTCTTGGCTTCCCCAGCTTCTCCTTGACTCCCTCTCCTCAGTAGCCTAGGGCCCAGGAATCTGGCTCTGGAGTGCCCCCAAGTGGTCAAAACATAACCTTTTTGCCACTTTTTGAAAAAACATCTTTTCCTGAGATAGGACAGTTGCTACAGCCCCTCTCTTGGCAGTAACCCCAAAGTGTACATCCCCTTAGCTAAATACTGAACAAGGCCACCTACACCTACCCACAGTTTTTTTAATGTACAAAGTACTTTGACACTGATTGCCAAATTCTCACTTTATAGATGGAAAAAACAGTCTCTCAAAGGCTTAGGAGACTTGGGGCACCTGGCTGGCTTGGTCGGTAAAGCATATGACTCTTGATCTCGGGGTCATGAGTTCAAGCCCTATGTTGGGCCTAGAGCTTACTTTAAAAAAAAAAAAAAAAAAAAGTCTTAAGAGACTTGACAAAAGTCCTACAGTTAAGAGAAAGAGCCCAGATGTGAACTCTTCAAATCCTCTGCTCTTTCAGTTGGCATCTGTCACCTGCTGGGTCTCCAGTGGCAGGCATGAAGAAGGGGTGAGCTATCTGTCTGCCCCAAACAGAGGAAGACTCCCAAGAGACTGGGTAGCTCAGTCCTCCCAGCTGAGATTTTTATAATGGGTGGGCCCTGGGGACCCTGGCAGCACCAGGAGGATGAGAATTGGCAACAAAAGACCTAACTTGAACAAAACACTTTGGGGTCGTGATGCCTAGGACTGAAGCCACATTCAAGGGCAGCCCCAGGTATCTGTCCATTGAAAGACCCATGGCCCTGGAAAGCCTGCCCACTGTCTGCACCCAGTGAGTCGGCACTCCCGGGGGACCTGGTGTAGCCCTGAATGGCCAAAAGCACATCTGACTTCGATGCCTGGGCTTGCTTTTCCCATGGATAAGAACCAGGACCAAAGAGTTCTTGCTGTATCCCAGCTCTTACCCCTGGCCACCCAAATTGTTCCAAGTTTGAGGTTTACTATCCCAGAGAGCGAGGGGGGCTCCTTTGGAGGGTTTGCTTTGTTCTGAGTGGCATTCAGAAATGAATCAATCACGTGGAGCATAAAAATAGGGCAGGCCCCTTGGTCGCCAAGCCTGGAGCCCTGCATATCAGAATTCTTGGCTCTGCTCCATGGCCAGAGAAGGAAGGCCTGGAGGGCATGGTTCTTGGTCTTTGTGTGGTCTTAGTTATAGCACTCTGGCTGGATTAATCACTTAGATGTCACCATGGCATTCCTCCGTTGCAGTTGAGTGAAGACACATGGAAGCTCTGCTTGTCCATCCTGTATTCTACCACATCGCTACAGTATGCGGTCCCAATCTGCTTGCCGAGCTTCAGAGAGGGGCAGGTCAGGCAGCCGAGCGGGCAGGTAGGAGATGGGCTCCCAGCAGGTGCATAGCCCCAGGGGAAGCCAGGCCCCACCCAACAGCAGGATCACAGCAGAGGAAACCCAGCCAGGCTAACCATCGAATTCCATACCTGAGCCTCCGAGATCAGGCTCGCGTGGGCATGCCAGGTTGACTACAGTCTTTTACCTGTGTTCCCCTCACCTAGAAAACTTGTTTCTGAAGTTACGTATTACATGGTTCCAGGGCCCAGCCTTCAAAATTCCTGCCTGGCAGGCCAGCTTCAACATTCCATAGCCAACCTTGCCTGAGCCAGACTTGGGCCCCATTCCCTCAGTTTCTCCAATGGTGGTTTTCTACCTTGCATGCTGTTGAGTCCAGCCCAGTGGCCAAGTGAGGAACACAGGGGTTGGGACTGGCTGCCACAAAGCCAGAAAGGGAAACTAGAGCTCTTGTTTCCCGCAGCTGCATCCATAGCCCCTGGGCATTCATGTTGCGGTGGTGGGGCCCTGTACCCATCCCAGCTCCCAGTAAAGTGGGTACTCTCTTCCCTGAAGAGAACAGATGTTAACAGCTTTGCAGAGAAGTACCAGCCCATAGGAGTCAGATGGGTGAAATCCTCTTTGGGCCAGACCCCAGCAAGACCAGCAGCTCCAGGCTCTAGCCTTCCTCCTCATGCCTGTGAGTCAGGAAAAGAGTAGGAATGCCCACAGACCACCTTCTCGGGTCAGCCAGATCATGTGGATCTGTGAGGAGACTCCAGCTCCTCCTTACCCAAGGGGAGGTAAGGCCAGGCCTCTAGCAACTTGGAAGTTGTCTATAATGACCTTTAAAAGCCCAAGGGTCTGTCCCCATCTCCTGACTAAAAGGCATTGCATCCCTATTTCATATCACATGACAGAGGAACCTTCTTGTGGCATGTAACATCCCTGTAAGAGCATTGTACATGATTTTGTATTTTTTAATTAATTTTAATCTACAGGTTGGAATCTAATTTTTAAATTTTATTGGAACTCCCATTTTAAAAAAGAAAAACATTTAAAATAATAATAATAAACCTTTGACCGGTGTCTTCCAAGTAGTTTGATCAAAGAACTTAGAAGTGTTTTCAAAACACAGCCTGGAGTGTAAAGATTGGAAAGTCCCATGGCCTCGCCTTGTGTGTATGAAGTGTAAATCTGGTTTTGTTTTGTTGTTTTGGATTCTTTTGGGTTTTTATTTCATTTTATTTTGAAGATCAGATAGTGATCACTCTGAAAGATTGAAGCCAAGAATTTGTAACTATGATATTTACTGTAAGCTGTAGAACATTCAATAACTATTAAAAAAAAAAGTTTCCAAAAACTTTTTTGGAAAAGTCCGGGGTGACCAGACTGGTGGTTCTTGGGGCAGGGAGACACAGACCACCGCTTAGGCCAGTGAATCCCCTGGGTTTCTTCCCAAGCTCATTCTGAACTTGTTTTCACCAGTCAGGTAGCGCCTGTGGTGCATCTCCCCGCAGGCGTAGCAGGGCTTCCCTGGGATTCAGCTGAGGGGCCTGGGAAGTGGCCATCAGCACCTGGATTAAGGTGGGTGATACAGGAGCCCTCGGGGGCCACGAATGATGAGGGCTGCCGTCTGCCGAGGGTCTACCATGGGGCCAGCACTGTGCTTTATGTTGGGTAACTCTCCTAATCCTCACAGCCCAATGGGAGGTGAGCCGGTCGAGAGGGGGCAGCCAGAGAGTAAGTACCTTGGCCAAGGTCACAGAGCTTGGAGCTCAAGGTTCAGAGGTGGAGCTCACTTAGTCTAGCTCCACAGCCCAGGCACCGAGTCCCACATTCTGCCCACCCTGGAGGAGGCAGTGTGTGTGTTTAGTTAAAGGGTGAATTTGTCAGGTGGGAAACCAAGGGAAGAGCTTACAGATTTGTAGTCACAGAACGACAGTCAAGGGAAGCCAGGTGGTCTCCATCCAAGTAGTCACATGCTGTCAGTTTCTATCCTGAATCTCTTCCTCCTCTCCCCTCTGCGCAAAACAACTGCCCTAGTCCAGGCCCATGCTTTCCCTGGTCATTGTGGCCACCATGCTCTCCCAGCCTCTAAGTGTTCAACCTCCTCAACTGGAGAGAAAATGACCTGGCCCACACTAGAGCTGTAATTACAATTCAGGACTCCTAAACTCTCCCTTTCTGCCAACCCGTGCCCTGTGCCTTTGCAGCGTGCCCCCCAGTTCCCCCTCCTGTCCTCACCTACCAGGGAACTCATTCTCCCTCCCTTGCGCAGTGGAAAGCTCTATCAGATGTGGGAGTGGAGGGCACCTCTGGCCACAGACTTGGTCGGGCTGTGTCAGCAGCAGTTTCTCCAGGGCAGGAAAGGGATTTTCCCCAGGGACTCAGCTCCAGGTCACAGTGGTAGGACTGAGGGCCAGGAGCAGGCAGAGAGGCGGAGATCTGGGCCGCTGTCCTCACTCGTCTGGTCCCTGGGGCGACAGGTGGAGTTAAGGAGAGGTCAAACTCAGAACTCCCCTCAGCCCAGTGCCCCAGCTTGTCCTCCAGCTCCCAGGACTGCCAAGATTCAGAGGGAGCAAGCCTAGAAGAGGACAGGCCAGGAAAACTTCCAGATGAGGGTAGAGGCCCTGAAGGCCAAGGGCATTGGATATACCCCTACCTGATCCCTCAGCAACTCATCCCATCCTTTTGGGAGCTGCCCCCAAGGGACAGGTCAAGAAATTTAGGCCAGAGTCCCTAGTTTTACCTTCCAGCAAACAGACCAAGACGGGTGAGGGGGTGGTACTGGAGGGGAGCTGTGATTACCCCAGGGCCCAGCACCATGGTGGGGGTATCTCTTACCTGGCCTGGGAAGCCCAGACCCAGCCTTAGTCTCCACACCAAGATGGCATTTGGAGTCCACAGTCCAGCCTTCCCCTGGGAAAGGAGGCCGGAGAATGGGAGGGACCACTTCCCACCCCATCCACCCAGGGTACTGGCTCTTGCTGTCTCATCATCTTGGTGTGTCATCCAAGTTCTGGGGTAAGTGGGGTTGGTTGGCTGAGGGGACAGACAAGTTTGAGAAACCAAACCCCAAGATGCAGCTAACAGTTGACAAACAGGGACACCAAGTGGACCCTGGCAGCGCAAGGGAACATTTCCTTAAAAGTGCTAATGATGCCCACTAGTCCCCTACAACAGACCCCTGTTCTAGACTTTGGCAACCTTTGGTGCTCCAGAAAACTCCTCCTGATGTGCAGCCTGCTTCCTTTCCTCCTCTTGCCTAGAGCAGGTAAAGCTCTGCCTCCTAGGCCCTAAGAGGTGCCCTCCCTTTCCTGCACATCTCAGAAGCCTCGGAGAGAGAAGACTGTGTCCTGGAGAGCCAAGAGGCAGGGAGAGAGCAAATCTCAAGGCACAGCTGCCCAGCTTCTCTGGGCTGGAGTTTTCTGAGCTGCTGCTGGGCCAGGCCCCTGCCCATGGCTTCCACACAGGAGGAAGGCCCCTGCCCACAGACAAGATGGTCCTCTCGCCCTGGCGTCCTGCCATGGCCCCAGCCTTGGGGAGCCCTGCCTGGGTTGGGCAGGAGTCAGGGAATGGGGGCAGCTGTGGCCTCAGGGGACAGCAGCACCTCGGGCCACTTCTGGCTACAGCGGGAGCAGCAAGGACAAGAGAGTGACATGGGCCTCCTGTAGGCCCAGCCTGACAGCCGCCCTCCCACAGCTGCAGCAGGCCTAGAACTCCCACAGGCTTCCACACCTTCCCAGGCTTGCGCAAGCATCAGTAGCTGGTTCTTCAGCCTCTCTTTGGGACTCTCCCATTAGCATTTAAATGTCTCCTTCCATCTTTAAAAAATATACCAAATACCCAGAGAACCCAGAATTAACTAAAAATTTTCTCTCCCGGAGCCTAAGTCTCCACCAGCTATTACCTGGCACAGTCTGGCTTCTGCAGGGAGCTCAATCCACTCAGACCTGGTCCTGCTGTCACCATGTCCATTAACCAGGGGCTGCAGCAGTCCTGACCCCGTGGCGACCCCTGGCCTTGTGATCCACCCTGCCCTTCACTCTCCTTCCCTCGCTTGCAGGACACCTCTCCCCTGGTCTCCTTCCCACCTCTTGGCAGTGCCCCTGAAACCGCCGAAGGGTCTGCCCTGAGCCCTCTCCTGGGCCAGTCCTGGTCCAAATCCTACTTAAGTGCTTCTAGATATTCTCGTAGTCCAGATCGGTCTCTTGAGCACTCCAGGCCTTCACATCCAGATGCACTGGGGGCTGTATCACAGCTGTCCCTAATCCCTTGACCCACGTCCCTTTACCAAGCCCTAGCAGTTCCGTCTTAGGAGTCTCTTGGATTCCCCCCACCCATCACGCCCACACAGCCCAGCCTCCACCATCTCTTGCCTGGACAGCTGTAACAGATTCCTTGCAGAACTCCTGCTCCCTCCTCCACACCGTGGCCAAGAGCAAGCTGACCAGCCCTGCTTTTCCCCTTCCTAAATGCCTTTAAGAGGTTCCCTGGCATCCCTGGCCTAAGGGCTTCCAAGAGCGCGTGGGGCTGCCTTCTGGTGCCCACCCCCACTCTAGTCTCCACACCTGTCCCCTTCCACTTCCAGCTTCTCCAGTTCCTCGTGGTGCCCCCAGGCCTCTGCACATGCTCTGCCCTCTCTGGGGACCATGCTCCCCTTCCCACATTCTCCAGCCCCCGATGTATCTTACTTACCCATCCATCTTCCAGGCTCCACGTCCTCTAGAGCTGTGCTGTCCAAGACAGGAGCCACTAGCCACATGTGGCTACGGAGCCTTGAATATGCTAGTGCATGTTAAGATGTGCTTTAAGTATAAAATACCAGATTTCAAAGCAAAAAAATTAATGGCTCATTCATAATGTTTATACTGACTTTATATTGAAATGGAAATATTTTAGAAACACTGCCTTAATACGTTATTGATACTCATTTTTTTTAATACTGTGTAAAATGTGGCTATTAGGAAATTTTAAATTACATACATGGTATGTACTGTATTTCCATTGGACAGCACTGCTTCTAGGGGCTTCAGTGAGAACCCAGTGAGGTGAGGGGCCTCCCCACTTCACCTGCTGCCCCATGTCCACCCGCTACAGAGCCAGCCCTGCAAGGGGAGGGATGGCCTGTCCCCCGCACGGTACCTGACACAGAGGTATTTGGTGAACAGACGGACAACCTGGGAAGAGGCACAGGGAAAGAAGCTCCTGATGACACCATTTTCCCACCTTTTATTATCCAATAAATGGATGGGAATGTAGACAAGGACAGGACAACAGCAAATTTTCAATAAATAAGAGAAATGGGGATGGCAGTGGGGCCCATGCCTGCATGGCCCCACATAAATAACCAGGTCACTGGGCTCGAGTGGACATAGGAGCTGGGCTGGGCAGTCGCCCGCACTGACCAGCTGGGGGACAGACACCAACACCACAGGGACACACAAACCACCGAGGCCAGAGGTGCCTCTCCAGCCCCGCACACACCCCTCTCCCTGAATGCTCCTGAGATTTTGGGGTGGCTATGCAGGCTGGCACCCTGTATCACAGCCCTACCCAGGTCAAGGCTGTGGTTCCAATTTCAATAAAAATAGCAGGGAGGGGGGCAGATACATGCATTAAGCCCCTTCTGTAGGCAGAGCCAGGGATGGGCAGCCCCATGGGGGCCTGAAGGCACAGGCCCTGGAAGCCGCAAAAATGGGGCCATAGATAAAGCTACTAATGGGAGGGGTGGCAAGGAGTCAAGCTCTCCCCGCACACGACCCAGGCCAGAGCCTGCAAGGGACCGGAGAAGTCCTGGGCCCCGAGACACCTTTCTCTCCCCACTTCACGGTCAGAAGGATGGTAACCAGGTGATGGCCAGGGACTTGCCCACGGTTAGAACCAGGGAACTCAGTCTCCAGCCCACGGCTTTTTGTTGCCCCTTCCCTTCATGGGGCCGCTGGAAGAGGAGGGAGAGGTCCACGCTAGGGCCCTGTACAGAGGCGGGGGCAGTAGATTACCAAGGTGTGGGGCCAGGGGTGCCAGGCAGAGGGCCCCTCCCCACCGCCAAGGCCTAGCCACCTGGTGGTACAGAGGATCCTGCAGGGTCCTAGGATCAGGGCAGGGCACAGGGGCAGGGGAGGGGCTCTCAACCTGCTCCTGCACGCAGCACCCGCCAGCACCTGTCTCTGCACGGGGGCGGACACTCCCACCTCCAGGCCTTGGCCTTTGCTCTTCTGTCTGCTGGACCATTGCTTCTTGATCCTTATAGGCCCAGCTGCAGCTCTACCTCCTCCAGGAAGCCTTCAGAACCTCCCAGGACAGGGCCGCAGTGTCCTCAGCTGAGGCAGACCATCAGATAACCAGGTTGCTCTCACTTAGCCGGACCACGTAGCGGTTCTCCTGGGTGACAGAAGTGAGGGGTCAAAGCTGAGTCGGGGGGCTTCTGGGCCCCAGGAAAGCGGCCCCTGCCCAGGGCTCCCTGTACCTCCACCCCATCCGCAAGTCCGGGTTGGTCCAACTGCCAACAGATACTTGCCCCCTCTGGGCCTCACCTCAGACTTGTTCTCTGCTGGGGGCTTCAGCCCCTTAGTATGACTTCCACCACTTGCCAGCAGTGCCCGCTGCTCAGTGGGGAGGCCAGGTTGTGGTGAATCAGGGAGGTCACCCCCCGAGGGCCCAGCCTCCATGATAGTCTTCACCTCAGAGGCTGCTGAACTTGACCGCTGCTCTGGAATTCGGGCCACTCGGAACCTGTGAGGAGTAGTGGTGCAATGATCCCCCCATTAAAGAGGGAACCCTGGGTATAGAAAGGACATTACCTGCTAGGGTCCTACACCAAGTTCATGGATCAGAGCCTGAGCCCATCCTATATCCTCCTACCCACAGATGAGCCCCCAGCCACCCCGGCCCTAGGTTGTAGGCAAACAGTCCTTTGGCCTGAGGGCCCCAAGGTGTGACGGAGGCCAGGACCCTGCACTGGGGCCCAAGGGCTCGTGTGAGACACAGCAGAGCTGGGAAGACCTGACCTCTCCCAGACCACCCCACCCCCCTTCTGCCCATCACTGAATGGGATGTTCAGGGCTCAAACAGGGCCCCGTCTCCCCCACCCTGGGTATAGCGTCTCTCCCTGACCCTCCTGCATCTGTGCCCATCTCACCTGCCCACAGACAAGATGGTGATCTCGCCCTGGCGTCCTGCCTTGGCCCCCGCCTTGGGAGCCCTGGTCGGGTTGGGCAGGACTTGGGGAGTGGGGGCAGCGGCAGCTGCGGCCTCAGGGGACAGCAGCACCTCGGGCCACTTCTTCTGGCTACAGCGGGAGCAGCAGGGGCCGGAGAGCGAGGCCAGGCCCTGCACGGTGTGGAGGTGGTGGCGATGCGGGCAGATGTGTGGTGTGCTGGGGGGGCCCGGCGGCAGCCTGCACAGGGCACAGGTGGGCGCGGTCACCAGGGCAGGCCCGTGCCAGGGGGTCCCAGGCGGTAGCGAAGGGCACTCGGTACCGTGAACACACCCGAGTGGTGACTCCCCCAGGAAGCAGGCTGATTCTGTACGGGCTTGGGGCACCTGCGCACTCACCTGGGCACAGGCCTGTGGCTGGTCTGCACCAGCTGTTTGCTGTGATACTCCTTGAGCAGCTCCTCCAGGGCCGCCGCATTCTCTGTGGGCAGCGGCCGTCAGAACCCCGCTCCGGGCCGGGGGGCAGGGGGGTGCTCCCCATGCCCTTCACCCCCGCCCCAGCCGGGGCCTAGCGCCTCTCCCTCCACCTCTCATCAGGCAAGAACAAGGAGAAAAGGGGCAGAGCAGGGTGGGACTCTGACCCCCATGGCTGCCTCAGGCTCTGGGAGGAGACCATCCTCTCCCGGGCTTGGCCATAGGGCCAGACCTTCCCCTCACCTTTCTTCTCTGTGATCAGGCGGACCAGGACCCCAATGGTGTCCTCGTTGGCATCTTCAGCCCTGTAGGCGGGGTTGATCCCTGTGGGAAAAAAGCCAGAACTGTGATCCTGGGGAGGAGGGGGGAGGGGGAGGTCATTGGGGGAGCCTCCAGGCTTGACAGCTACACCAAGATGTGGCAGCAGAGGGCACCCCAGGCCTCCCTACGAGTCGTGCTGCAAGCCTGGGTGTTTCCGCACTGGGGGCCCCCCAGGCCTCAGCTCATTATCACTGCTCCCTGCAGAGTGAGGGTGGCGGGGGCAGGCTTTTCTGGGGCCTGTTGTCTCCCCTCCACAGCTTCAAGAAGCTGTGGACTATCTTTCCGCCCAGACCCCCCAACAACTCAGGCAAATTCTGCCATTCCAGGCTTATCACATTTCCCTGCACACCACCCTGTCCACATAACTGAGGGCCATTAGGGCCCAAACCTCAAGAGCATGAGAATGAGCCACGCGACCAATCGGAGGCCCACAGCAAACAGCTCCTAAACCTTGCACCCAGGCAGCAGCCAGCAGTTAAAGGAAGACCTAGGCTAGGAAAACAAGTGTAGCCCCAGGTAAAATGGCCTGAGCTGCCGTCTTCCTGCCCCCTCTAGACTGCGGTGTCAGGAGGTGGGAAGGGCTCTGGCCAGCTCCAGGCAGCCTGGGGCACAGGCATGGGAAGCACCATTTCAATCCTGACTTGGCCACAAGGCTCATTGGGTTGTGTATGCACACTGGGGACCCCGGCCCTACCGGCCTTCAAGGGACCGGGGCGGGCAGGAAAGGGGCCCAGGGCCCTGGGGCGGGGTGGCGAGGAACACCTCTCTCCCTCTGGTTCCAGGACTCCTAACTCAAACCACAGCCTGGAGCTGAAACCCGACCCCTCATGGGGCCTGCCAAGCACAACTGCCCTGCCAGTGGCTCGGGTCAGAGGTCAGCTTGAGTTCCCAGAACACGCTCCAACCCTTGAACCACAGACACACAACTGCAGCCCCCGAGGAGTCCAGGCCCCTACAGCTGGGCAGGGCCTCACCCAGGGTGCGAGTCCTGCTGAAGCCGCTTGACCTGTGCTCTGCCCCTGCTACCACCTCAGGCCACTTCACCTCTCATTCCACTGTGTCACTGTAGGGTCTCCTCTGCATGCTGCACGTCCAGGAAGCCCTCCTGGTTAGCCCTCTGCAGGCCCCTCCCTGTCAGACCCTCTACGCCAACAGGTTCCCTTGCGCAGCACCCCCGGCTCAGTTGGGCTGGGCTCGTCTGTGCCCTCTGGCCTCCCCCCCCCCCGACGCCAGGCCAGGCCTCACCGCTGCCTCCACCTCCGGGGCCGGGCCCAACCTCCTTGTGGGCCATGCAGTGGTAGCCCTTCCGCTTGAGCAGGTTACACACCAGGATGCCCAGCAGCCCCATGAGGCAGAAGACAGGCACGATGGCAATAACCGCGTACTGGGCCGCCGTCTCCTCGGGGCCGCCCGCCCGTGTGCCGTTCCCAGGCTGCCGCGTGTCCCCAGCGCGGGTGGCCCCTGCTGCTACCTCCACGCCACGTCGGGCCCGCCGTCCCCGCTCTGAGCACCACAGAGGATGGCGGCATGGAGGAAAGATGGAGGCAGAGAGGCCCAGGGCCTGCGTTAAAGGGGGGAGGGGGCACTAAGGTGTCGGAGCCGCCTCCCGCCCACTCTCCATCATGCTGGGGAAGCAGCGGCCAGCTCCCCGCCAGCACGTGTTTTTGGCCATCTTATCAGTCAGCCAGAGCAAGGCCTCCTCAGGCCTCAGGCCAGCCAGACCCTGAGCCCCGTGGCCCATCCCCCTCACCCTGGGGTGAACAGACAGCACGCGAGCACATGCCTGGGCACACGGGCCCGGCTCCCGCCTCCCCGTGACTGAGTCCGTGAGGGAGCTGCCTCAGAAAGTGACCGACAACAGGTGAGAGGCGTGTGTGCTCACACGCATCTGCACGTGTCTGAGGGGATGAGGACAGGAGACAGGAAGGATGTGCGCCCCTCAGCGCCCCCGACCCCCGAGCTGTGGCCGCCACCTGCTAGATGGTCTCTGCCACTCAGAAACAACGTGAGCAAACACACCGCCAGTGGGACAACCGATCACATCCTGCCGGACGCCCTCTGGCTGCACACCCTTCCCTGGGCTCAGGGTTGAGGGCCCCACTGTCCCGGATGGACACCGCGGGGGCCCCTGGGCTCAAGCTCACTGGATCCCCTCCTATACACACCCTCATCAGTCCTAGCCCCCATTGCTCACTCACCAGAGCAGCTGCGAGTACCCAGAGGTGTCCAGGAGCATGGCTGACAGGGGACATGGGGGACCCCCGAAGTGGCAACCCACCTGCAGGGAGAGGAGATATCACTGAGACCCAAAAACTCTCCTTAAGAGAGGCTCCTGCCAGGCACACTCACTGGTCCTGACCCATCCCATTTCACAGACGGGAAGACTGAGGCCTGCTCGGGGGGGTGGGTGAGGCTGGGACCCCAGGACCCAAAGTCCTGGTCAGCTAGCCAGGAATCCTCAAACCCCACCCCATGGCTCACCCAGGCTGGCAGTCTCCACACAGTGTGTCTTCAGTCGCTGTGCCTGCCTGGGCCTCCAGCCTCCCTCGAGGGCTGCAGCGGGAGTGGGCCTGGCACGGGCCCAGGCCCCACGAAGCAGAGAAAGTGCCCGGGGGACAGGACCTGCATAATGTGCCCTGCCCCAGGTCCTGTGGGAGGGAAAGGGTGAGAACAAAGCCAGGCCTCAGGTCCCTGGGAAGCCAGGTCTGGAGCATGGGCCCCTGGTCCTCAGCAGTCTTCCCAGGACAGGGCGGATGGGCGGGGCAAGCTCACCAGGTTGGGCTCCTTCCCAGGTGGGCACTGCCACGGGGTCGTTGACAGTGGAGAGGCCAGAGGCCAAGGCAGCAGCTGGAAGAACAGCGGGCAGGACACACTGAGAGAGCAGAAAGTGCGGGGGTGTGGCACCTCTGGGGCCATCTGCCCACCACCCACTTCCTAATACCCCGGGAGTGGGGACCACTGACCACTCGGAGCCAGCCTCCAGGTTTCAGGGACACTCTCTAACCTCCCTCCCTCATGCTGCAAATAAAACCTGCCTGTCCCATACCTGCAGCATCGCCGCAGCCTAGATAGAAAACCCTATCCGCTTCTGGAAAGTGCTGGAAAACCCCAGACAGGGCCAGATCAGGATCTCAAGCCCTCAGGTCCCTGAGTCACACCCATTCCAGCTAACCAGAATGATAAAGAGGAAAGGCTTCCGAGTTCCTCTCTCAAGTACTGTCCCCCTTCCTGCTGCTGCTGTGTCCCCCCCCCCCCGCCCCAGCCCCAGCCCCTGTTCATCATCCCGGGGGCCAAGTCTGCAGCTGGTGCTTCCTATTCTGGGCCCCCAAGAGAGTCTTTGGGACCACATCCTCCGTGACCTCTCCACAAAAAGCCAGCCAGTTCACACTCCTGCACCCACACAGGGCGGGATACATCCCAAGGAAGGGATCTCAATTTGCAGCCCCGGGCACATTCCACTGAGAGGTCCACTACCTGCCCTGAATCCCTCCTGCTGTGGGGAGATTCTCCCCGCAACCTGTCTTCCAATTTGGCCCCAGCTTGGGGTAATAGGCACGGAGTAAAGCCAGCTGCCCTGGAGGGCAGAGGGAATATCACACAGGAGGCTCTGGGGCCCTCCTCAGGCCCCAGATCTGGCTCCCAGCACCTGCCAAGCTGTGTAACCAACCTTGGCATGGCTCCTGGCATGGGGTCCCTGAGCACGGAGGGCTGGGGTACAGGGCTCTGTACCAGGATCCCAACCCCAACTCACCACAAAAAGGCAGGACAGGGGCCAATGTGGCGGGCTCAGCTTCATCCTCAGGCCCCTGGGAAGGAAGGAAGAGAGGCTCAGCAGGAGGTGGGAGTAGGCAGGCAGCTGTGGTCTGCCCTCCCGGCACTGCTTCCAGGACAAGACTAGACGGCAATTGGCAAGGTGTTGTGCGGTAGGCTAAGCTGGGGTAGTTTGGCCTAGACTCATCACACTCCCTCTTCCCCGCAAACCTGCGTAGAGGTGGGGGTATGCTGGCTGGGGCTAGCCTCCCCGGGCAGCAGAGGGGGGAACAGAGAGCTCTGCCAGGTTTGGGGGGCTTCCCGGAAGAGGAAGGGCTTCCTTCCCGTTCCATAAATAGCCAGGTGCACTGGGACAGGGGCAGGGGGGCCTGGGAGGAAGGAAGCCTGCAGCAGCAGTCCTGGGGGTTTGGGCTGAGAGGGCCTGCCATCCTCATGCCCAGCCCCTCACCTCATCTCTAGCTTCCAGGCTCCCACCCCTTGGACCTCCTTGTGGGCCCTGGCCTTTCCTGTTTTTCTGCCTTCACTTTTGCGGTTTCTGCTCCAAGGAAGGCCCTTTCCCCCAGCCATCAAAGACCAACACGAAGGCCTCTCTTTCCAGAAGCGTCTCTAGATTTCCCTTTCCCCAAAGCTCCTGCATGTCTCCCTACCCCACCCCATCACAGTCCTGGTCCCCCTACGTGTCCCATTCCCGACCCGGGGGTCTTCTCCGCCGAAGGATGTGGAAGGATGTGTCCAACACTGGGGTGGGTCTGACTGCGACTCTGGGGCAGGAGCAGACCTTCTGCTGTCCCAGCGGCCAGCATTCAGCCTTCTGTCCTCTCTTGGTCACCTACTACCGCCCTTAGCACAAGTAGTAGAAGACAGACATGTCCCTGTCCTCAGGGAGCTCACATCCCTGTTGACCAATGGCCAACAGATGAACGGGGAACGTCCCCCTGCCAGATGGTGGGGAGTGCCAACAAACAGTAAGGCAGGGTGAGGGCGCAGATGGCCACTGGCCTGAGGTTGAGCACCCAGGCTCCGGGTATGGCGTCCTCTGGAGAGAAGCCTCTAGCCAGTACACAGGTTTAAAGAGTAGGATCGGGGATTTGGTTTAGACAACAAAAGGGGCCGCGACAGAACGAGGGAGTCCCCGTCACGTATTTCCAGGAGGCCTGCCTTCAGGCTCAGGAAGGGGAAGGAAGCTGGATTTGTCGGGCCTCCGCCACAGGCCACCCAGCTTCTGACCCCTAAGGGGCAGCCAAGCCCCTGGCCCAGGGCCCCCAGCAGAGTGAGGGGACCCCACCTGGAGCCCCGTGCTGCGAGCCCGGTGGGAGAAGCGCTGTGTGCAGTCCACCCCGGGCCCCACGCGAGCCCCTCGGGCCTACAGTGGCCTGGCCTTCCCATCAGGAGGGAAGCAGCCTGAGGAAACTGATCCCCTCCCCGCCCTCGGGCGGCGGGGCAGCCAGGGGTTTGAATTACACCACAGAGGGGGGGAGGGGCTGCAGGCACAACAGCCGGGGACTCTCCAGGTCACTGGCAGTGCCTCTGGGCCCAAGCCAGCTCAGGGAAAAACGGGACAGAAGGTCGGGCCACAGCCTGGCAGTCAGCTCCCACCCAGCGGCATACCCGGCCCCATCCCCTGGCCTGGCCCCTCCTCTGACTTGGTCACAAGTCTTCCTTTGCAGTTTCTGGCCCAAAGTGGCCCTTCCCCTACCCAGGCCCAACTCCCGCTCAAGCCCTTCTCCGCATGAAGATCCTTCTTCATAGGATCTAACCCACAGACTTGACCACGAGCCCCAAGGCTGCAGACTGGCCCCACAGGGGCTGGGGCAGGGGTGAAAGGAGGCACAAGAGCTCCAGAGGAGAGGGCCCCAGTGCCACCTCTGGCCCTGCCTGGCCCCCACTGGGGTGACCTGAGCCCACACGGAGGGGCTGTGCAGCTGCTTACCTCCAGGCAAATGGGGAGCTGTGATCTCAAGACTTCCAGGAGGAAAATGGGAGTCCAAAGGCCCAGACTCCAAGCCAGCAAGGGCCCACTCAGGCCCATTCACAGACACCCGCCGCCTAGCGCCCTGACGCCTTCTAATTACGTGCCTTCTAATTATCCCAAACTGGTACTTACTCCAGTCTGGCCGCCAGAGTCTCTGCTGACAGCCGACCCCCTCCCCAGCCCCCACCTGCAGCCAGACGGAGCCCCCCGATGGACCTGTCCAGGCAGGCAGCCCATGCCGGCCACCCAGAACCCCCTCCATGCACACACCTGCTGTTCTGACCGCCCTCTGCGCCCCCTTCCCCCCAAGGCCTCCAGCATCTAAGCCTAGAATCTTGGAATCTTGACTGAGAAGCAACTTCGGATCAAAGCCCCTTGGCTGGTGGGTGTCCGTGAAGTCTCCACCCCTACTCCTCTGCCTAGTCCTAAGGCCAAGCGAGTCACTGACCTTCCAAAGCCTCCAGAGGGCCCCCAGGAAGAAGACTGTCACAGGCGGGCAGACCAAGGCCCACAGCAGGGAGCCTCCTAGCCTGGGCCTGGCCCCATTGCCACCAACTCCCTGTGGGACCTGAGCCCCTGCTTCACCTTGCTGGGTCTCAGTATCCTCATCTGCAAGATGGGGACAGTTCTCTCCCAGGGCAAGACTGCGCTGAGGTTTACAGGAAGTAATGAGCCTAACGCCGGTCCTGTGATTTCCTCCCCGATCGCTCCCCGCTTTCCCTCTGCACCTCAGGCCCAGGTTTGTAATTAAGTATCTGTTTGCTTACTTGTTTCATGCTGCTCCCCACTCCTCACCCCCCCACCCCGACAGCAGCAAGGGCAGGGTGTCTGTTTCATTTACCGCAAAACCCTCCCCCAGCAGTGTCTGGAGCAGGAAGCCTCTGCAGGACAGGCTGGGGTGGGGGTGGGGGCTTCCTCACAGGCGGTCCACCCCCACCTCCAAAAATGCCCGAACAATCAGACCCAGAAATTCCCTGGAAGAAAACCAGCTAGTGAAGCCCCGACCAGGGCGGCGGAGCCCCAGGGAGGTGCAGCCCTGGAGGCCTCAGAGAAAGAGGAAGCTGGGACAGCACCCAGCCCTGGGGGCAGCTTCCCCTTTCCCAGAGCTGCAGCTCGGTGGGGTCACGAGGCCCCAGCCTGGGGCTCTCCTCTCCAGGCTCCCTCTCCAAGCTCACCCTGGCCTCCCTCGGAAGTTCCACAGTATCCCAAAGATCTCCCACCTCCCAGACGTCACCCACCACCCCTCGCCCTTGGCCCTTGGCCCTTGGCCTCCAGTTCAGCCCCAAGTACAGCCTAGGTATCTTAACATTGGGATCTGGCCCCTGCCCCCCCCCCCCCCCCCCCGCCCCGCCAGCCATTCTGGGCTTCTTTCACTCCCTACACTTGCTTCTCTCACTGAGGCACTGGTACCTGCTGTTTCCTCCACCCAGAAAACCTTCCCATCACCTGGCCAACATCTACTCTTCCTTTGGAGCTCAGCTCAAAGCCACTTCCTCCTGGAAGCCCCCCTTATGCATTCATCATCCTGCATGTAACCATCCTGTTTACCCAGCCTCTCCCCCAACAAACTCCATGCCCAGTGCTCAGCACAGGGCCTGGCTCTGGTGAGTGGATAGCTATATAGTGAACTGGGGATAGCTAGGGGGACGGATGGGGAACAGGGATCAGGCGAGTATATAGCTTCTGCCAAGGCTAGGAGGGCCCAGAGGCTGGAGTTAGGCAGGGGGTTTGAAACTGGATCTGAACACCTGAGCTAACTTGAGGGAGAATCAGCCTGCCTTGCTCTGCTCTTCACTGGCTCTGTGGCTGTGGACACCCCCTCTCCCACCAAGACAGAGGGCTGGTGTGAGGCCAAGAGACTTCACCTTAAACACTCAGCACAGGGCCTGGCACAATCACCCCTCAATAAGCATTCACCATACCTCAGGTTCCCCATGTGTAAATTACGGAGCGGGGAAGGGCACACACTTGGCAGGTGTGACGTATGAAAGCTTCTTCTCCATTTACGTACAATGCTTGGCCCAGAGCCTGGTACACAGGAGGTGCTGGATTAGCCATGGTGAGGATCTGGGAGGAAGGAGGGTGTACGAAGGGAGAGAGGTCTGGAAAGGTAGGGGGTCAGAGCCCAGGTCACACCAAGACTTGGATGCAAGCTGAGAAGCCTGCACTGCCCTCGGGGCCTATGGGAGAAGGGTTAGGAGGCGGGGGAGAGGTATGGAACAATTTGCCTCTCAGAGGGCTCCCTGGGCTGCCTGCCAAGGAGGCAGGACTGGGGAGACAGAGGTGGGAGGCAGGTCCCCACGTGGAGCAGGGGGTGGGAGGTAGGTACTTCTGTTTCCCAGCCAGGGGCCCTAGGGCCTGTGGACCTCCCTGTAGCCTCCAGAGGCTAGAGTTGCCTGGAAACACATCTGGACACAGGCCTTCCTTGGCAGTGGCCAAGACAGAAAGACAAAGGCTGCCCATCAATAGAGAAATCCAGGTTAGCAAGCAACCCAGTGGTTCCCTGGCAACTGGGGCTGAAGTAGGGCAGTGTCCACAGTAGGCGGCGGTGAGGGCAGCTAGGCCTGCCTCTTCGCCATCCTTCCTCCACCCTCGTAGGGAAGGCAACTGACTCTCATTCCCTTGGGGTCTGTCTGGGTTGCTCTACACCTTACAGAAGAGATGAGCATCCCTGTTTCACACCCAGGTAAACTGAGGCCACAGGCAATCATTTGTATGGGTCACAGAGCCAGGGAGTGGTGATGCAGGGACAGAGCCCAGGTCTGGCTGATTCTCCTTCCCCCCTCACTCCTGAGCCCCCTTACCTTGGAGCCTAGCCTAGGCCCCGGCATGTAGCGGACGTTCTCCAAGGGTCTGTCAGCTCGATGGCAGAGGCTATAGGGAGCTAGTGGTCCACAGAAGCGGTTCATGGAGAGGCCATTACAAAGCAGCCGGGCGGGCCCCCGGGGAGGAGGTGCTGCCCACCCCCCGTTCCCGGGGGTCTCTGAGGCCTCTGGGGTTTCCCTGCATCCATCCTCATCTGCATACTGCCCTAGTCTGCACCAGCTCCTGCAGGAAAAGGCACTGGCACCTGGGAGAAGCAGGAAGCCCAGGGAAGGCTGGGAAGAGGACGTCTCAGGGTAGCGGCCCGCTCCTCAGGCTGCTGCCAGGTGGGGTCTAGAGCTGTGCGGAGGCTAGCTCAGGGCCACTCAGTGAGAAGGGCAGCCCCATTCCCACCCCGGCCTTGGGCAGCCATGGTTTCCCAGGCCACAACCCTTGGGTAAGGACCCCCATGCCTGTGGACCCCAAATCCTACACCAGGGCACACCAGACAGCGGCTGTTCCCTGCCCCCCGCCGGAGGGGGGTGCTCAGCATGGTTCTGGCCCTCACTTCAGGCCGCCACACGGCCTGCACTTTCAGGGGCTTGGGGAGGTGAGGTGGGAGTGCGGCTGAGGGAGCTAATTGGCCCTTGAGACAAAGAAAAGGCTGAGGTGGCCAGACTAGGCCGACCCAGCTCCTCCCAGGCTGGTGTGGTACAGATGCAAAGCCTGCCCCTTCCCTAGCTGGGGCCGGGGCTGGGGCTGGCGCTGGGGCAGGGGGCTGCTAAACCACAGTCATCTCTGGGGCAGAGCTAGGGCTCCCCAAACCCCCTCACTACTGCATGCCTCATTCCCATTCCAGGCCTCAAAGATAGGCTCCCAGGTTTCACAAATGAGGAAACTGAGGCTCAGAGAAGCAAAGGAGTACCCTCTAACAACTTGGTCTCAAAGGAGACAAGGTTTACCACCCAGGAGTGGGGGCAGGCAGCCCTTGTCCTCGCCACGCCAGGCTCCGGCAGGCCCCACTGCGGCCCAACACCTGACTGCTCAGCGCCCCGGGCTTCCTGCAGGGAGCCTGGGCCAGCCCTGGGCTGTCTCCCTGGCCCCAGGACAGGATGGCAAGGGGCCTGGGAGGGCTGGAGGACACCCCACTGCCCACCCACTCATGCTACTGTTACCTCTTCCCCGGCTGCCCAGCTCGTACTGACCGCTAACATGCAGGCCTGACCCCATCACCCCAAGCAGGGCGAGGCTTCACAAGAGACTGAGGGGAGACCACAGGCCCAGCCGGCCCTGTCCTCCGGCTCCTCTAGACTTCGGGTGCTGGGGAAAGAGACCCCTCTCCCCAGCAATCCCAGGTCAGGCGGCCCTAACCAACGGCCACTGAGGAAAGGGGTCAGCACTGGCGGGAAGTTGGGCTCTGGAGCAGTTGATCCTGGGTTCAGGCTCTGGTTCGTCGCTTAGCAGCTCTGGAACCTTGGGCAAGTTACTTCCCCTCCCTGAGCTTCAGGGCCCTCTGCAAACAAGGGCTCTGGCCCCTTCCTCCAGGGGCTGCGGGGATAAGCGGAGCCTGTAAACAGTGCTGAGCAGGGCCTGGCCTGACGAACCTCCCCCGAGCATCAGTTCCCACCACAGCCCACGAGGGCCAGAGGAAGAGCCAAGCTCAGAATTAAGCAGCACCCAGGCAAGGTCATCCAGTGGCATGCGGAGCAAGCAAGGGTGCTTTAGGGAACCCAACGTCAGTCCCAGCAGCACGAGGAGAGGAGTCCTGGCCTCCCAGGATGGCTCCGGGGGCCCATTTCCCAGCTGCTGTACAGCCTGCGCCCACGTGCTCCCCGACCAGCTGAAGCCGCAGTCAGGACCCAGCCCCACATCCCTAAGCCTCAGTTTCCTCCTCTGTAATTTGGGAGAGTTGTGCTTGTTCAGCTGACCTCTTGGCTGGAGGATCCAGAGTTCATAGGAGAACAGTGGCTCTTCTTACAATCAGGCTTCAGCCCAGGTGCCACCTCCTGCAGGAAGCCTTCCCGGCCTCCCTGTCTGGGCGGACCCTCCCCTCTCCTGGCCCCTTCAGCCACGGGTGATCTCCCTGGAGGAAGGAAGGCAGGCAGGCAGGCAGGCAGGCAAGCGTATGCAGGAAGCTGGGCACAGAGCAGGGCCAGGCCCCTCCCTCCACTCATTGCTCCTTCTCACAGTGACCACAATATACAGACCCAAGCTTAGGTCCTTCCTTCTGGAAGCCCTCCTTCCTTCTCTCTCCACCCACACAGTCAGACCCTGCTTCTAACTGGCTGCAGAGGCCCCTCCATCCCTCTCTCTGTGCCAAGTAGTCAGGGCACACGCTCACGGCCACATGGGCAGTTTATTTATAGAGCTCTCATCTTCCCAGGGTGGCCCAGGAAAGAGCTCTGGCCTTCCAGGCAGACAGACCGGGGTTAGGATCCCAGTGACACTAGGGTCTTGCAAGTCCCTTCCCCTCTCTGGGCCCTCCTTTCCCTGCCTGCACCTGGAGGAGACTGCCAACCCTCAGGACATGACACTAAAGATGTGCGAGCCTCAGGGGTCCTAATCCCAGGGCTGGGCACACAGTAGGGATGCAGCACTTGCTCCTTCCTGTCCTCCTTGCCACCCCAGCCAGTGGCACTGGGACAAGGCCCAGGCACCCAGGGCCTCAGCAAACAATGGGTGCTGAGCTCAGCCAGAGACCTCATCCCACTCACCCCCAATCCTGAGTGGGGGTGGGGCCAGATGGGCCTTGCTGGCTGATCTCAGGCAAAAGATCCATACAAAGACTCCATACAGGAGTCTGGCCTGATCCAGCCAGGCCAGGTGCTGAACAGCCCCACCACTTCCCCCTCCCAAGGCAGGGAGCCAGCACGGTCCTTCTGTGGAAACTGATGTCAGGATTGTCAGACAAACCCTGCCTCCGCGTAGAGACAGGGCAAGGCAAGATCTTGAGCGCCAGACTCCAGCATCATGGCTGTGGGACTCAAACTAGGTCTGCTCCCCTCTGCCCTGAGTCTCTGCTTCCCCACTGAACAGCTTGGGAAGGAAGGGGATCCTCTGTCAGTGCTGTTGAGACCTGAGCCCAGGGCCTGGCACACAGCAGGCAATCTGCTGGCCCAGAACGGGGGTCTTGTCTGAGGAGGGCCCATGGCAAGCACCAGACAGATGTGCCCCTACAAAAAGGATGGCCATGAGTCTTCGCCTCCAAGCCCCCAGCACACACGCAGGAGCATCGGAGACTCTGTGTGCAAACCTCCCTGTGCATCCCACCCAGCACACAGTAGGCCCTCGGTGGCTGCCCTTCCTCAGGAAGAGGCCTGGCCAGCACAGATATGGCAGCAAGAGAGGGCAGGCTTCTGGCCGGGGCCGCCCTACCCAGCTGGGTATGCAGTGCCCATGAGTGCCCCACACCTGAGCCTATTCCCAAAGGTGAGGGGGGACACCTGGCAGGTGGACCACAACAAAGAGGAGGAACTAACATTGGGCTGGGAGGGCTTCCTGGGTGAGGGGGAGCTGTACCCTGAATGGCCAGGAGGGTTCTAGAAAGAGGAAACAGCAAAAGCAGAGGCAGAGTCGAACCGAAGCATCTGGTAGGGAGAGATGAGGGTGAAGATGTAAAGTTCAAAAGGTCTTGGAAGGAAATGTCGAGGCCAGGATGAGGAGTCTGGACTATACTGTGTAGGCAAAAAAGTAAGTGGCCCTAGGGAGGGTGCTCTGACAGGGCGAGGAAGAACTGGAAATGGAGGCAGGAGGCTAGCACAGCTGTCTGGGCCAGAGCGGGACGTAAGAGGGAGCTGTGATTTTGTGAAGGTGTGTCTCGGGCCACATCCCGGCTGCCGGGGGATGTGTGGCAGCACCGAAGGTGGGTAGGGGCCCTGTCTGGAGGGTGAGAGCCAGAACAAGAGGGTTCTGGGGCCCTTGGGTAAGTCTCGGCCCTTCTCAAACCTCAGTCTCGCTCACTCGCTCCGGAAAAGGAAGCTGACCCTACAGGCAGGGGCAGAGCGCTGACTGCCCCTCAAAGTCTCCCCTCCTTGGCCAGACATGGGTACCTCCCTCCGGCAACTATCAGATGAGTCCCAACGGGGACCATGTGTAGAAACCCAGCCTGGGCCCACTGTCATCCCGGGAGGCCCAAGTTCCCAGAAAGGTCTAGCTTGGGCGGGGCACAGGATAGGGCTGGGAGGGCCTCCATCAGGGCTAGGACCTGAAGAGGAGGCTAACCCTTCCCCTCTCCCAACCCCTCCCTGGGCCCTGAGCTATTTCCCTGTTTGCTGGGGATGGAAATAACTCAGGCTCAGCCCCAGGAGACCAAGATAGCTATTCTGATCAGCCCCAAGAAGCACAGCTCCAGTCATTCCAGAGAGGACCGAGGGACACCCTGACCCCCCAGCTCTAGCTCTCAGCCAAGCGGCAGCAGTGGTGACAACTAGCAGGGGCCTCTGGGAAGAACAGAGAGACTGAAGGACTGAGAGGATGGGGCAGAAGCTCAAGGTCACTCCGGGCCTGCCCCCCACCACAGCATGTGGGGAGATTTGGGAAGGTGCCCCTAGAGCAACTCTGAAGAGGGGAATAAAGCCTCTCCAGTATGGTGAAGGTCAACTGGGATTCTCAACTATCCTTGCCCCCCACCCCCGAGCCTGGGCCATGCTGCTGACTCCTGACCCTCTTTGTAGCTATGTGGATGCTCCCCAAACCAGCTGCAGGCTCTAGAAGACGGGAGACAGGCCTCTCTGGTGACCTCTGGCTAGGGGTGAGACCTGTGGGAAGGGAAGAGGAGGAGGAACAGGAAGACCACATAACCGACCCACCCACAATGTTTCAGACATGTGCAAATACACACCACACTCAGAACTCACAAAGGCACACACTGACAAGGCCTTGCTTGTCAGCCCAGGTTTGAGAGAAGCCTAGATAAGCCATGAACAGATATTAGAAAGGTGGGTGGCCCTCTCCAAGCATCTCACAGGGTTTTCGGGGCAGAAAACCTGAATTCCAATCCTGGCACTGTCCTGACTCTGCATGACCTTGGGCAAGTCACTTTGCTTCTCCGAGCCTTGGTTTCCTTCTCTGAAAAATAGTCACATCTCAGAACCACTGTGAGGATTCAGCAAGAGTACACCATAAAGTGTTCAGCATAGCACCTGGCACCCTCTATCCTCGCCCCAACGCAGAATGCAACCAACATTTTCAGAGGAGAACAGAACTTCCAGATCCTTTAACAGGTATCCCCTCACCCCACCTGGTCTAGAGAGCCCAGTTTCCATTCCACTCTGCATGAACCCAACAGACCCTCTTGTGGAGATGGGAGCCTCATAGGGTCTGGCCCAGACGGTGAAGCGGCCCTGCTCCAGCTCTCCAAATCAGACACCACTCGTGGGGAACAAGTCCGTACCCCCTCTCCCCGCACAAAGGGAACTGAAGGAGACCGAGGCCAGAGAAGTCAATGTCTGTGGATCAGAATTCTGGCTTGGTCTGAGGAGCTGTACTTCCATTCCTGTCCCCAGCAGCCCCTGGGCCACTGTGTCCCCAGCAGCCAGCCTGCCCCCACCCCCCACTGCAGTCTTTCTGCCTGGAGGGAGGGAGGGGAGAACAGAGGCAGTTGACCCAAAAACAATAGAGGATCCCAAAGTGATGATTCACAGTCCATTCACAGCCCAACACCTCAGTGTGCAGAAGGGGAGACTGAGGCCCAGTTGGGGCAGGGTCTGAGGAAGATGGGCCCAGTGAGAATACAGGTTACTGGGGACAAAGCTTTGCCAGGCATCTGGGACCTCAGTGTATGAGTGTGTGTGTTTGGGTGGTGGAGCCTGAGGCTACCTCAGGGCCCCCCAGCTGCTGCCAGAAATGTCAGTCACCTCACCAGATGCCACCCAGGCTTGGCCTCCTCTCCCTCTTCCAGGGCAAGTCACTCTGGGTCCTCCCCACTGACTAAACTGAGATGCTGAGAGGTGCCCTCTTGGGGACAGTTCTGGAGA